GGGGAGGAGCTAAAATGGCTTGTTTCAGAGAGTGGATGATCTGATGAGCTGTGCCAAAGGCCCACATAAATAAGGATGTTTTAATGGATCAAGAATGAAGGAGAAAGAGTGCATCATGGGAAGCCCCCAGCAGGCTATGGAGGGTTCAGGGTCACCTGATCCATCAGGAACTAGATATTTAGAAAGTTTTAAGCCTATGATTGTTGATTCTGTTCATCTGGACGTAGCCTTTGTGGGAGAGACGTTTCGTCACTCATCCGAGTGACTTCTTCAGTCTCAGCTGCCTGCAGGTTTCCCCAATCTTATAAATCTTTTTCTAAACACTGCGTCTCTGTGGCTTTTAAACCCCAAAACACGCTGCGCCAAAAATGGCTGGTTTCAGTCATTGTGCAAATGTTCTGTTTATAAAATTGGGGAAACCTGCAGTCAGCTGAGACTGAAGCAGTCACTTGGATGAGTGACCAAACGTTTCTCCCACTGAATCAGTGCTATTCACTCCACCTGAGAGTGGTCCTAATATTATACCTGATCAGTATACACATTTGCTTTTCTTTGTTTTTGACAGAAGAGCAAATCCTGAGCTCTTGAATACATACGAGATCTTAGAATGAATGGTTGAGGTTAATCCAGAGTCCTACTTTGCTATGTGACTATCTTCATGTAAAAGTTGAGCGTGTGAGTGACAAAATGTTGTCTCCCTCATCACGATAGTGGTTCTAAACCATCTGAGGATGTGAAACAATCATCAGGTTTCATTTAAGCTGTGCACTGTGTAAGAGCTGCTTCACTAGTCTAGTTCAGATCTGCACGTTAGTGCACTGAAGCACTCTGCAGGCCACGCTTCCTTTATGAAACCGCAAAACGTGGCAACAGCATTGACATTTTTTTAGGATTTAGTTTAGAAAACATGTTGATGTTGCTGCTTTTGCCACTTTCTGCTTGTGTAGTAAATGGACGTGGATAATAATAATAATAGCTTCTGCCATCTGAATGTCTTTTGATGAAACTTAACTAGAAGTGTCAAAAACAGGCTGTGTTGTAGGTGCTGTCTTTTTATTCCTCTGTGTGTCTTTGGTTCTTTATTTTACTCAGAGCACGCTCAACTTCAGCAACCCCAACTTCTTCTCGGTGCATGTGCAGAGCATCAGCTCCCAGGTCCTCTACATGAAGACGGGTAATGATTAGATTCATGAAGAGCTGCACCAGTGAATCTGTTAAACAGAAGCTATTATTTTAAGTTGGGGGTTCGTTTGCTTAGCTGTAAAAGGC